CAAATTATTGTTGGAATTAATAAAAAAATTGAAGAAGAAGAAGAAATGAGAGTTGTTCCATATTTCCAAGAAGTAGGAAATATGTTATTTGGATTATTTTAAGAAGTTGACATATTAAATGAAGAAAAAATTAATAAGAGTATAATGGTAAAGAAAAACAACAAAATATTTTACAATAGGAAACATGCTTATATATTTGGAAAAAAAGAAAAAGGAAACCCAACCTATATAATTGGGATGGAGGGAGTACATTTTATGGCATTTACAACTTCTATTAACTTTCAACGAAGGGCTTCATCAACTTTTATAAAAAAACAATTGATTAATAGAACCACATTCTTCGGTTCAACAATTTATTATTATAATTGAAAAGAATGGTGTGAGAAAATGTAATACACGATTTATTATAGAAGAAAATTTATAAGTAATAATCTTGTTTTAAATTATAATAAATTAATCTAGTTGTTTACTATAAATTTTTTCTTACAAAATTATGTTGTTTCGTTTTATATCATTAAATTTTGGGAGTGAGCAAATATCAATAAATGTCAAAACGTTGTGGAGATGTCAAAATAGAGAATTAAGAATCTAATTCATGTTCATGTTATTGGAATAGCCAACTTCATAACATGTTTTAGGTGACCCCGACCCGCTCTTTAAAGAAAGGCCAAATGAATGAGAAAACCTTTTAGACAAAAAAGCTATTCTATTTTCGATGCTCTTTTTCACGAATGCTTTTCTAATTGACTTGACAAGAAAGTCTAAAAAAGAAAGGAAGAAGTTCTATCTTGGAATAGAAGCTCTTTCCGTGAGACAGGGTCTCGTGAAGAGAGTTATATTTTTTTATTTAAGAGTCTGCTCACCTTGAAAACGATTCAAGAGGAAAATTCAGCGATTGGAAGAGCACCGCACGTTGAGCGATGTCTGAATGATCGATTAATGTTCGTGCATGATCGTACTCATAATCGTATCAGGTTTTCAAGATGAACGGAATGATGTAAGCAAAGAAAGTCAGCAAAATAAATTCGTGACCTTGGGAAAAGTATTGACTCTGAGGACTGAGTAATTGCGTGTACCTAAAATTGAAAGTTGAAATTGAAACAGAAGTGCGAAATGGAACAAAGATTGGGCAACGAGCTGCAATGTAATCCACAATTCAAATTTCGAATGGAGGCTTTTGCTGATTGAACTGGCGAAGACCACCGACCACAGCGTGTTGAAAGAAGTTATATTTGTCAGCACAATTTCACCTCTCTATGCCAATCAAACCACAACCATGGTTTTGTGCTAACTTCAACGTGGACTTATAAATTTGAAATCCAAGACACATAAACTGGTATTGGCGGGGAAGACATTGCCAAAGTCTTGCTGGGAAGATTTAAGAAAAAACTGACTATAAAAATAAATATTATTTCAGAAGGAAATAATATCTCACACAAGTACAGGCAAAATGAAAAAAAAAAAACTGTAGTTTAATCTTATGAATGATGTTCTACTACTCATTTTTTGAAAAATTATGTAAGAGACTCGAAAAATTACTCAAAACTATGTAGACAGAACACTAGTTATATATGATTTCGACAACGAAATTTCACAATATTTTTGTTGTCATTCATGCTATTAGTCTTAACTCCACATGTCGAGAACTTCATTTTGCTACTATTATGAGGACAAAGTCCTTCCACACGGCTATCCATGCACTTATTGAGCATGTTTCATCTGTTTTCAATGGAACTCACTTATGAAAGAAAGGCTAATAGGTCAATTTAAAGGGAGTAACAATATGCTGAATTGATTGGATAGAAATCTCAAGGACGGCTGGCATGCAGAGGCTTCTTGTAGGATTGCAACAGGAGTGATGAACAAACCACGCTGATGGACGAAGCAGCCATGCAAGCACCAGCAAGCCAAGGTGGTAAACGAATTCCCATGAAGGGGTATAAAACTCCAGCAGCTATCGGCATTCCAAGAACGTTGTATCCGAGTGCCCAGACATAATTAATCCGGATTCTTCTCATTGTCTTACGAGAAAGATCTATTGCCGTGATCACGTCCTCTAAGCTGCTCTTGATTAGAACAACATCAGCAGCTTCTATAGCTACATCAGTTCCTGCGCCGATTGCCATGCCAACGTCAGCTGCGACCAAGGCTGGTGAGTCATTTATCCCATCTCCTACCATTGCCACACTTCCACCATTCAACTGCATCAAAGTTCAGTTACACAGGATGTTATGGATGAAACCTTATTTCCTAACTCGGAGATATCAGAAACGTTATGACCACAAAATTATAGTGCTTCAAAATTCATGTTAGAGCTATGTTGACTCGCCACTTCACTACATTCGAGAAGAAGTGTTACAATGGGAAATCTCACACCTCTTTGTTTTCCTCACATTCATCACCCCCACCGTCCTACTTGTAACATAGGAAACACAGCCGGCCCAATACAAACATATTCACATAGGCAATAACTAGCCCTATCGAAGTGAATACTATAATTAGGCTACACATCCCAACACAAGTGATGTTCATAGTTTGTATATCTCTAATATTTAATTATTTTAGTATTTTTATCTTTAGTGTTGCAATCAGTATGTATTGCATTTCAAATAATATCTAGGCCTTCCTTCTGGTGGAAAACAAATCGGTGCACAGTTCAAAGGAGCAACAAAATAGTACACTTAGCATTGTCAAGCAACAAGAAAATGATTTTACCTGCAACTCTTTTATCTTATCAGCTTTTCCAAGTGGATCTGTTTCAGCAAACACCTTCTGAATTCCAACCTCGCCAGCTATAGCAGTTGCTGTTGCCCAATTATCACCTGTAACCATGACACTTGAGATGCTCATCGAGTGGAGGAATGCTATGACACGTGCAGCTTCCGGTTTCACAGGATCAGTAACTGCAAAAGCTCCTGCAGGTTTTCCATCAATGGCAACAAGTACACAAGTACGAGCCAGTTGCTCATTCTCTGTCACATAATCATCTACCTCACGGCCAAGTGGGACATCAAAAAGTCGCATAAGCCGCTTGTTTCCAACCAAAATTGTTCTCTCTCCAACTTTTCCGCTCACCCCTGCTCCAGGGTGCACCTCAAAGTCCTTAATGTCAGTAAAATATTCATTTTGGGATCCATACTTCTGGAATAGCTTTTTAGCATGCTCCACAACAGCTCTTGCGATTGGGTGCTCACTATTTGCCTGACAAAATGTAGTATTAATATCACATGAACCTAGATATCTTTATAATTGTGGTATGCTTCTTATGAATCATAAACTTAAATTATGACTTATTGACTTAACAATCAAATTTAAAACCCACCTCTGCAGCAATAGTCATGTCACAGAAATCTTCCATGGAAAATTTGGAAAAGAGCACAGAACTAACAACCGATGGTTTTCCAACTGTCAGTGTTCCGGTTTTATCAAAAACAACAATCTTGACCTGCACGACCAAAGTAAATATCAATTAAGATTTAAAAACTTGTGACATGAAACAAAAACAATATATTGATGACTGATGCATTACATCATAAAAAGGTAGCGCCATCCGATTAAACAGAAAACTGTGTTGATATGAGATACCTACAATGCCAAAGGTAAAAAGCACGATGCTGAATGCAACATAAACGCATTTTATATGGTGAAATTCACAAAAATGTCAACATTTACACTTCAAATTAGTTTGAAGGTGACTGTTTTATTACGTGGCTGAAACTACCAAAGATTAGGTAACAAACATCACATCTGGTCAGCCTTAGTTGACAGACTAGTCAAACAGCAGTAAACAACTCAAACAGGGAAAGAATAATTACTTCAAATATATTTCAATGTCATCCCATCTTAACTTGCATATTCTGGAGATACAATGATGCAACATTAGAAGTATACTCAGAGGCAAAAATAAAGTAAATTAGTTAGGGTTTCTTTAATTCTAGTTTATGTTAGATCGGAACTATTTCCTTAGTTCCTAATTTGATTAGGTTTTCATTACTTTTCTACATAGTATAAGATTATTTAATCCCTAAAAGTGGAGGGGTTAACTCTTTGTTTTAATCACCTTCTAATCATTGAATAAAATTACAAAATCTTCCTCCTAAAAGTGGAATGGAAAGAAAGACGTTTAAGTTGTTAAAAATATAGCCAATCTCAAGAAAAGCTAAACCAAGGCATCCGATGATGGACATTAGTGGACGTATGAATATAAAACCATTTGCTGAATTTATTTTTATAAGAAATAGAATTTTTTGAGCTTTTGACCAATTGGTTCTACAGGACTATATGCCATATGTTATGTAAAAGTGAGCAGCTGTAGAGCATGACAACATATACATTAGATAGACTAATAGTCCATGAACAAGTGTTACCTTGTGTGCTTTTTCTAGTGCATTCCCACCTTTGATGAGCACCCCTTGTGAAGCACCCTTTCCGGTGGCAACCATGACAGCAGTAGGAGTTGCTAAACCGAGAGCACAAGGGCAGGCAACTACCAACACTGAAATACTGAACTGCAATGCAAACTCAAAAA